GTCGGATTACATCAGTTGGAGACCCGACCCGGAAGCCATCCACACAGACGCCTTTACGATAAACTGGGCTCCTCTACGGAGCTATGCCTTCCCCCTCTTCAATCTGATATCCAAAACCCTACCGAAGGTAACGATCGACCAAACGGAACTAATTCTCCTTGCTCGGCCCAGCCCTGGTGGCCGGTTCTGCTGAGACTTCTAATATCTCAGCTAGTTTTGCTACTGAACAATCCAACCCTCTTAACGGACCCGACCGACCTGAACCGAGTTCATCCAATGTATCCTCGCCTTCACTTGGCCGTGTTTCACATCTCTACCAAGGTTTTCAAGCTGAGGGCATTTCAACAAACGTTGCCGATCCACTCATCGCAGCAACTCGTACCTCCACCTCGTCGTACCTCTGGACGGCAAATTGACCCTCTCTCGTCATCTATAAGTGACATTCTAAATTTCTTAACAGAACCCTTAAACGAAGGCTTAGCATACCGATCACTTAACGTCCTTCGTTCTGCTATTTCATCAACTCATCCAAAGATAGACAGTTTTTCAGTGGGTCAGCATCCTTACGTTGCTAGGATCCTTAAAGGAGCTCTCAATAAACGTCCTCTCAAGCGCAGGTATTCCCATACCTGGAATGTTGATGCCATGATTGAATACATGATTTCTTTGTGGAAAAGCAGCACCCTATCAATTAAAACTATCTCATTGAAGTTAGCACCCTGTTTGCATTAACCTGTCCTGAACAGATTTATGCCTTGGCTTCCCTGGATCTCAGACATTGCAGCGTCCTTCCAGAAGGAGTTTCAAACTCACCGTCCCTAGAAAAACTGGCAATGCGGATAAACCAGCGGAAGCAATTTTTTGCCCGCTTTGACCAAGACAAGAAGCTCTGTCGTCCCGTGGATTGTTTTAGACAATATGTAAAATTATCCAGGAATGTTTGACCCGTTATCCCGTCTTCTCTTCCCAATAAGTTGTTTATTTCATTTAAACGCCCCCACAAACCGGTCACTTCTACGACGTTGGGGCGTTAGCCACGAACCTTTATGAGTCCAGCAGAAATAGACAGTCAAATTTTTAAAGCTCACTCTGTGCGTGGTGCATCTACGACAGCAGCAGCCAATGCATTTGTCCCGCTGTCGAGTATCATGCCAATAGCCGACTGGTCTTCTGCTTCAACTTTCAGAACATTTTACTATAAACCCTTGTTTACTTCAGACTTTGCTACAGGGGTCTTATCCTCAAAGTAGATCTACGTGTAAACTCAGCTATTCTCCTGTTAAGTTTTGAATTATATATAATATATATAAATGTTTTGTTATGTGGAACCATGGCTGTTTTATCGCTCTTAGTAGCAGCGTTAAAAACTACCATTTGTTGTCTCATATATTTCGAACGGAGCCTGTGAAATATAATGAGAATTATACTAGGGCCGCGAAGCGGCCCTAAGTTATCATTCAAATTATATGAACAGATGAAGTGAGAAATATATGAGCTTCCCACCCTTCTTCCCTCCCTTCTATGGGGTCTCTCTTTTGCCTGTCTATTCCATGGCGTCAAAAAGCCACCGAAGCATCATGGGTTTAAGAGATCTAGGTCCCTGGGCCTTGTGGGTATACCAGGCCCCTTCTACTGTTTCTTCAGGGGGGTTCGCCCTTCTGTTGGCGTTAAAAAGTGGTTTGAAGCACTAACCAGGAAAGTCCTACCATTTGTTGTCTCATTTATTTCTCACTTCAACTGTTCATACAATTTGAATTACAACTTCAGGCCGCTTCGCAGCCCTAGTATAATTCTCATTTTTAACCTTAATTTTGAAAAGCGTCCTTTTTTAACTTCTCGCGGATTTTCTCTTCTTTCTTACACGCGGGTCCAGGTCCGACAACCCGTCTGACACAAGCCTTTTTTCACCAAAAGGTCTTTGAGACATTGTGAAGGTTTACTAATTTTTTTAACATTTCCAATTCCCAGACATGGGTTGCGCATAGTTAAGCCTAATTTATAAAAGTATCTTGTTTGTTTCTTCTTCTGGATCTTTTCTGCTCTTTTTACACGCGAATTCAGTGGCAGCAGCCCGTGTGACACACGTCTTTTCTTCTACAGGGTCTTTGAGACATTTTAAACCTTTTTTTCAATGTTATAAATTTTCGGGTTTCCACAGGTAGGTTGCGCCTAGTCAACCTTATTTTTGAAAAGCATCTTGTTTTTTACCTGGATTTTCTCTGCTCTTTTACACATAGATTGAAAAGGAGCAATCCGTGCTACACTTTCCATTTTCCCCATTAAGTCTTTGAGACGTTTTAAAGCTATTTTATTTTAATATTTTAAAGTTTTGGTATTTCTCACTGGCGGCTTGCGCCTTGTCAATCTTAATTTAAAAATTATCTTGTTTGTTTCTTCTCCTGGATTTTCTCTGCTTTTTTATACGCGGATTCAGCAACCCGTGTGACGCACGCCTTGTTTCCTCAAAGGGTCATTGAGACGTTTTGAAGCCTCTTTTTTACAATCTTTTTTTTTATTTTTCGCACACCAAAGGAAGGTTGGACGTAGTCAACCTTGATTTTGAAAAGCATCTGGTTGCCTACTTTTAATCTCCTGGATTTTCTGTGTATTTTGTTACACGTGGATTCAGTGACAGCAATCCGTATGACACTCAACTCAACTCGACTCAAATCAACTTTACAAAATGTGGCTCGTGTTTCCACCACTTATATTTCTCCCAAACCTCCACTTTAATAATAAAACAGGTTTTGTTGCCAATAACTAATTTGTTGCCAATGACTAATTTCATTACTTTTATTGCCAATGACTCCATGGAGGCACGAAAGCACATGATATTCTATACTTGTCTCAAAATACCACAAGATTTATCTGGCGATATCATTTCATCACGTGACTGTTTCTGCACAAAATAAATTATCTGATATTTAATGGATACTGATAGGACTTTGGAAAATGTGAATCAGAAAGCTAGAAACTGAATCAGGACGAGTTGTTAAGGATAGAAGCTTCTAGTATTTAGAACCTCACACAATTTGTCACTGCGTCTGCAAGATCTTTTCGAGTGCTAATTTCAATTTATTAAGGATATTACGCCTGTTGAAAAGATGAAAACAGGGAACTCTGACAGAAAAGACAAAACCTGGCATCAACTACAATGATATTAAATAAGAAAAACATAACAAAATAAACGTAACAAAATAATAACAAAGAATACAAAAATTTACAAATCTCGTAAGCTCTCTGCAAGATCTTTTTCAATACTAATTACAATTGATCAAGAAATTACGGCTGTTGCAAAGGTGAAAACGATGCAATCGGACAGAAAAGACAAAACCTAGCATCAACTGCAATAACGGTTAACAACAAATCCTTTCAGATGGCAAAATACAAAATTTACTCACAGTTGTCCAGCGTTTGGTTCCGTTGTTCATGATGTTTTGAAAGGATTTTAAAGGTTGCACTAGGCTGTTTCAACTAATTTTCAGCCGTTCGATGTTATGTTTTTCTTTCATTGTGGAACTATTCTCTCGTTACCTCTTTGAATCTGTGTTATTCCGTCATCAGTTGTACAGTTGCCCGGGTTCCATCCTTGTAATCCTGAACTTCAACCCAAAATAGTTGTTCTGTTTTGCTCTTTATCTTTTAATCTTTTCATCCAACTTATTTGTATATTTAGTGTTTTTTGTCACCATGATAGGGAAATTAGGAAAGAAAACTTTTGATTATCAGTCCGAACACTGTGCCTTAAGCTTTTATCCAATTAAATTTCGTAAACATACAAAACAATTGAAAAAATAAAAATAAAAAAACGTCTCGTAAACATTTTGCCATCACCCACACTCATCAGGGTTTTTGTAAGAAAAAGTAAATTATTGGTCATAAACAACGAAACTGCTCATTATTATTCTGTAACTTCAAATGTTCCACTTTTCATAATACACCTCTTCAATCTTAACACTCTCCTATGTCTTAATGTTCTAATTAAATCTAGACATGTGATCAATTTCATTGATGTGCGACGTAACCACGTTGACCAAATTGTAAATTCCCTAAACTGGGCTACACATTTGACCGTTACATAGTAAAGTTTTTCTTTATTATTTCAAAAGGTAACTTTTTCGTTATTCTTCTTATTATTCTAATCTTATTTCGTTCATAACTCTGCTGAAGAAGATGGTCTGTCAGGATTCTAGAAAGTTCGTTTTTACAAAGAAAGACTTTGGTATGCAGCCATTGTTTCTAAACACAATTGATCGACTCATTTTAAGATCGCTCGCCGTACAAATCCTATTTCTTACATAACCAAGCTTTCCATGTCAGACACCCTATAACTCAGTTAACAAGAAATTTAAAAAGAGCCCTTATCAACCAGCCTCTGTAGCATCATTTACAAACACCTTGTGTTCAAAGCGCCATAGCTTACTGATTAAAGGCGAACAAAGGAAACTTGTTATGTACTTGTAATTTTGTGTGAAGTTTATAAGCTTACTACAGTCAGCCACATGTCACATGTCAAAGTATTTTCAATCTTATCTGGATGCCTTAGAAGTCATTAATTTCTAATTCGAGCCTGCTTAAAGAGTTATGTATTTGTGGCATGCTATTACGTTGCTCGCTTGTTATGTAAATTTTTCAGTGTCACTTCGACAAAAGGTGACCTTTTCCTCTCCTCCTCCGCTAATCACTAAATACTCTTTCAGCATAAAAACATCCGTCCCAGAAACATCTTCCTTTCACTTAAATTGAATTTTAGTTTCATTCTTGATAGAAAGAAAGTTAATGATGATCATCCGTTTTATTTGGTAAAAAACACTTTACATGCTTGAATGGCTTTAGAAATTCTTGAACAATACGCCAATCAATGTTACGTATGCAAAATGGTTGGGTTTAAAGGCCATACGGCAAAGAAAAGACTTCACAAATATGCAAACGAAAGGCACATAACACTACAAATATTGCAAAAATTACTATCGCAGATATGCAGTGGGATCCTTCTATACTTCATCAACTTTGGAAGCTTAAGATTTCAAATTTCATATTCAACTACCTTTATAATGACAATAAAAAGGGCCACACGAGCACAGGGTAAAATGAACCAATCATGTTATTGCAAACTGCTTATTTCCAACCCAAGCGTGGATAAATGACAGGTCAGTCTGAAAAGAATACAGTTTTGGAACCTTCAACCGTATTCAAATTTGTTTGTTCAGTCCATCGGCACATTAAGAAGTAGAAGAAGGATACTAAGCTTCGCAGGAACATCAGGCAAACACAACGGATGCTGTGGAAATGTCTTTGTTTAGCGAAGAGGCTAAACGAAAGTTGGAGTTAAATTTGGTAAGCACTTTGATGAAGAATAGAAATCAGGGAGAATACATAATTTTCCGCATTGAATAGACCATGGCTGCTTCATCATGATTTCAGAGGGGGCAAAGAATGAATTGATTCAAAAAGGGAGAACATATGGCTACATCAAGTGTAATTCACAAATCACCAAATTCTGCTTCACGATTCTGAGATGCACGGATAATTGTTTCGCCCCTATGACATGCCAACATACAGCAAGACACAAATGTATTAGCTGACTCTATGTTATTATTTGTAATAAAGTATGTCCTGTGTAACTGCACTCTAGGTCATTGCACTCTAATTCACATGAAATAACTGTTGCAGTTGTAGAGTTAAAAACGAAATTTGATTTGTGCAAGCATGGAATTAGTTTGTGCTAATACCAGAACTTGTTTCTTTAGTTAAATCAGCTTGCTATGCCATCCAGCTTAGAGCCCGGGCCTTCACATGCAAACACAAGATATTTCAGTCCCTCTGACGTGTTCACGGTACTTTATGGCACAAACACAGCACGGCAGGTCAGTATGGACGAAGGTGGTACTTTCACTACAGCGCAACTCAGAACAGCGGACAGAGTTAATTCAGGTAAGTTTAGAATTAAGGCTTAAAACTGGTTCGTGTCGTGCTGATCAAAAACCAAGTCCAGTCACGCGCAACTACGCGGATACTCGCGTGTTGTAAGAACTTGCGCGTTCATTAATAGTGTTACTTTCTATTTCACGAAAAGAGTCGATGCTTATTCGCAATAATATATTACTGCCGTTTAAAATTCATTGATAAAAGCACTATCGTAAGAAAATGCAGCCCACGATGAAAACAGGGTTAACTAGCCACACATCGAGAAGCTTCTTGCACTACGTAAATTGTTATTAGATTTGGTCTAGCACTGACATTAAATAACTTAAAGCTTAAGCCGGTTGTTCTTTCGTGTCAAATCGCACAGGACAGTTTGGGGTAGCCGGAAAGTATTAAACAGCGGAAATGGTAAAATTTGCATACAAATCGTAGGTGATCATGGTTTTGTTCAGTGAGTGTGATTGATTGTGGGAGTGTATTTGGATGCGTAAGAGAAATTTGGGAATTTTTCACGTGCTATCGATTACGAGAGATGGCTAGTCAGGGACGTTGGACTGCAACTACAAGGAAAGCTATATTAGCTACTAATAACTTACCGACTAAGCCACTGTACTTAACACGCATTGATCAAGACCCAATTTGATTGTCATCAAATAAAGAGCTCATACTATACACAAATCAATCCAAACCACACCAATATCTTGTCAACACTCACTTAAATTAATGTTCATCATTTTCAAGATGCTTCCAGACGAGGCATTCGCGTCATTCACCTGACCTTTGCACAAGTCTAGTTCCGTGGAACAGCTTGTTAAAACGATGTGTTTCAGTGAACACTGACTCAACTCAAATGAAAAGGTTACACTAAAATATTTTACCGTTCAATATACATTTCATACAAAATTTAGAAACATTTTAATCGGAAATGAATTTCAGGGTTCAGTGGGTGTGATAGAGGAGTCGTTCTCAACTGGCTAAAACGAACCACTTTCCCACCATTAAAAAACAAATGTCGTTCTACTTTTTTACTTATGAAAATTCTAGTTCAGTTTTAGCTTTTGTTATTTTGACTATAAACATTGTGGAGATTTACATGGCGTCCAATAAAATATCATAACAAACTTATTGTATAGTCAATTTTTGCACAATCGAACTCTAACTGCACCTCTGAAAGTCTTTACTGGTCACTATGGTCTTTAGTAGCCAAATTGCTGTCAGATTTTGTCAGATTACTGTAAGTCAAACGTCTAGTAAAAGTCCAGACCTCAGTCTACCTCCCTAAAAACTGGCACGTGTAGGTGGGTTTGATTCTATTCTTACGCAAATTACTTTTAAAAGGAGGCTGATAATAGTTTCAGCTTTTTCATCACATACTTTGATGGATCAATACCATCACTCTTTGTCATACGATCCTGCAGTAATGGTATCAATCAAGTTTAATGCTCAATCATTGTTAAACAGGTTGTGGTCATCCTTTTATAGCAACAAAGCAACAGTACAGCCAGTTAGAAAAACCCTTTATTCTAACTTTAAGTACTTATAATTCAAAAATGAGCTCGGTGACCCCAATTCTTTTTTTAAATGTGTATGTCGAGTTATGGATGCAAGCGGGAAGTTTGGAGAGCTTCTTGAGTGTTCTATAAACTTCCCAAGTGCATCCATAACTCGATATACGCACAGCTAAAAGCATGAACCAATTCTTTTACAACATAGCGACAACAACTTGGGCGTTAAGGACGGTGCCCACTAAATACAAAGGTTTTGGCGCCAAATTAGGACCAAGTGCAAAAAGTAGATCTTTGCAAGGGCTATTGGAATCCACAAAGAAATAATTAGCCTTGAATCTTCACAAAAATGCTGACAACAGCACTTTTCTGAAAAGAGAAGTAAAGGATATTTCTTCACAGATTTCCTTAGAATTCGCTTTTACACACAGAAAAGCAGACCGGCACATTATAAGATCTTAAAACTGCATGGTAAAAGGTTACATAAAAAGCATTTTTGGCATGTTTTTAATGGCAAAATCGTTGCAACAGCGCTTTTAACGTCTCTGACAGCCTTCTTCTGGTTCTGCTCAAATACAGTCTCAATAACTTTTCCTCACAACCAGACACTAATCACGTGTTGAACGGGCTTGCCACTTCCATGTCATAACTTAAAATGCAGGGGTAACCATGCGTTTTTTAAAGTTATTCATCTTTTTTGAAAACTTTTACGTTGCCCGTTACATTTTTCCTGTTACCTCCCTAGTAAGCAAAACATTTGCGTCTCTAGCACTTGTTTTGCGCGCGCACTACGCCATCGGCAGGTACAAGTTTACATTTGGATTTCAGAATAATTTTCGACAGATAACAGCTAGTTTTTCAGCTGGAAGCCGTTAACAGTTGGTGGTTAGCGATACGCTGCTATTCTGGTATTCCTGGTTTTAGTACAGGTTCATTGAACTTGATTTGGTCACAGTAGAAAAATTTTGCTTTCATTTTAGTCGCGCACTTGGTAGCGTAGTTGATTACGTCAATCCCAAGCCTAGCGCGCGCTTGGAGTGTAAACCATGCATTGCGTGATGCGCAGAACGTGTGCGCACTAACAAAAGTATGCACCGTCCTTAATACAGGTTTAATTTGTGGTTGACCACAAGGTTCTCACAATGCACGCAGAAGGACGTATCCCATTGGCTGGTTAAAAACACGCCACAATCAGTAGAGCGAGAACACTTCATCTGGTTTCTAAAATTGCCAATGAGAAATTCGCTTTTTCGAATTAATAAAAATATAGGCAAGCAAAGTCAAAATACTCAAGTTTCAGTACGCATCTTAGCTTGGTAATTGGTAAAAGTCAAAGGCCCGAAGTACGGTTTGAATTGTTAAGAATGATGTTCACATTGCCGAAACTTTAATTAACAAAAGGAAGTCGCAGCTAAACTTGTCAGAAACTTTGCAGCTAAAATGAAACTGTACATGTCACGTTACCATGATGGCGCAACAGGAATTAGGTAGGACCAGCGCGCGCGCTATGTCATAATATCGAATTGTAACAAGCATGGTTAAATACGTTTTGCAAAGATAAAAAAAATCAGTAGAGAGGTCCAGAACCTACGTAAATTCTCAAAAATATAAAGTGGCTATGAATCCTCTCATAGTTTCGTAGTTTGGTTATAGTAAATGAATTAACTCTTGTCTTATTGTTTATCCATGAACTTATGTAGTTGTAACGATCCAAGGAATTGCAAATTTCAAATTTACGTGTTCATTTCAAGGTTTTTAACTAAATTACATTTTCCTTCCAGCTTGTAAACTTTGTCAAACAATACCACATGGAGCGTGTCACATGCACGAGCAACCCACTCAATCGCTGACAGGCGGACGGCTCAGCTACGCTGTCAAGTCACTGCCACCAGAATGTAAGCTAGGCGTCTCTAACTCAGCAGTGGAGGGGCACGGTGTATACACTAACCAACCCATCCCTACAGGTACATGGATTGGCCCCTTTGAAGGCAGACGAATTCGTCCTTGTGACGTCACACAACACATGGACACGTCGCACATGTGGGAGGTGAGATACAAGTCTTAAACGCTGTGTTTTTAAGTGGATAGTTTTTACTGTGGTTGGTTCTTTCTCGATCTGAAAGATGAAAAAATATATTCATTTATAGCCCTGACTATTCTTTGTTTACAGCTTTCAATTGCACTTCCATATTATTCTTTCTTGAACTACGCATTGTGTCGACTGAAATTCCTTCATAGTTTTGAAGTTTGATTACTCTTGCAACGTTTTTTCAGTCAGTTATCTCATAAAAATTATGATTGGGCAACCACTGTGCCTTGGTTTCAAGCGTACATACATACATACATACATACATACATACATACATACATACATACATACATACATACATACATACATNATGTACTTGTAATTTTGTGTGAAGTTTATAAGCTTACTACAGTCAGCCACATGTCACATGTCAAAGTATTTTCAATCTTATCTGGATGCCTTAGAAGTCATTAATTTCTAATTCGAGCCTGCTTAAAGAGTTATGTATTTGTGGCATGCTATTACGTTGCTCGCTTGTTATGTAAATTTTTCAGTGTCACTTCGACAAAAGGTGACCTTTTCCTCTCCTCCTCCGCTAATCACTAAATACTCTTTCAGCATAAAAACATCCGTCCCAGAAACATCTTCCTTTCACTTAAATTGAATTTTAGTTTCATTCTTGATAGAAAGAAAGTTAATGATGATCATCCGTTTTATTTGGTAAAAAACACTTTACATGCTTGAATGGCTTTAGAAATTCTTGAACAATACGCCAATCAATGTTACGTATGCAAAATGGTTGGGTTTAAAGGCCATACGGCAAAGAAAAGACTTCACAAATATGCAAACGAAAGGCACATAACACTACAAATATTGCAAAAATTACTATCGCAGATATGCAGTGGGATCCTTCTATACTTCATCAACTTTGGAAGCTTAAGATTTCAAATTTCATATTCAACTACCTTTATAATGACAATAAAAAGGGCCACACGAGCACAGGGTAAAATGAACCAATCATGTTATTGCAAACTGCTTATTTCCAACCCAAGCGTGGATAAATGACAGGTCAGTCTGAAAAGAATACAGTTTTGGAACCTTCAACCGTATTCAAATTTGTTTGTTCAGTCCATCGGCACATTAAGAAGTAGAAGAAGGATACTAAGCTTCGCAGGAACATCAGGCAAACACAACGGATGCTGTGGAAATGTCTTTGTTTAGCGAAGAGGCTAAACGAAAGTTGGAGTTAAATTTGGTAAGCACTTTGATGAAGAATAGAAATCAGGGAGAATACATAATTTTCCGCATTGAATAGACCATGGCTGCTTCATCATGATTTCAGAGGGGGCAAAGAATGAATTGATTCAAAAAGGGAGAACATATGGCTACATCAAGTGTAATTCACAAATCACCAAATTCTGCTTCACGATTCTGAGATGCACGGATAATTGTTTCGCCCCTATGACATGCCAACATACAGCAAGACACAAATGTATTAGCTGACTCTATGTTATTATTTGTAATAAAGTATGTCCTGTGTAACTGCACTCTAGGTCATTGCACTCTAATTCACATGAAATAACTGTTGCAGTTGTAGAGTTAAAAACGAAATTTGATTTGTGCAAGCATGGAATTAGTTTGTGCTAATACCAGAACTTGTTTCTTTAGTTAAATCAGCTTGCTATGCCATCCAGCTTAGAGCCCGGGCCTTCACATGCAAACACAAGATATTTCAGTCCCTCTGACGTGTTCACGGTACTTTATGGCACAAACACAGCACGGCAGGTCAGTATGGACGAAGGTGGTACTTTCACTACAGCGCAACTCAGAACAGCGGACAGAGTTAATTCAGGTAAGTTTAGAATTAAGGCTTAAAACTGGTTCGTGTCGTGCTGATCAAAAACCAAGTCCAGTCACGCGCAACTACGCGGATACTCGCGTGTTGTAAGAACTTGCGCGTTCATTAATAGTGTTACTTTCTATTTCACGAAAAGAGTCGATGCTTATTCGCAATAATATATTACTGCCGTTTAAAATTCATTGATAAAAGCACTATCGTAAGAAAATGCAGCCCACGATGAAAACAGGGTTAACTAGCCACACATCGAGAAGCTTCTTGCACTACGTAAATTGTTATTAGATTTGGTCTAGCACTGACATTAAATAACTTAAAGCTTAAGCCGGTTGTTCTTTCGTGTCAAATCGCACAGGACAGTTTGGGGTAGCCGGAAAGTATTAAACAGCGGAAATGGTAAAATTTGCATACAAATCGTAGGTGATCATGGTTTTGTTCAGTGAGTGTGATTGATTGTGGGAGTGTATTTGGATGCGTAAGAGAAATTTGGGAATTTTTCACGTGCTATCGATTACGAGAGATGGCTAGTCAGGGACGTTGGACTGCAACTACAAGGAAAGCTATATTAGCTACTAATAACTTACCGACTAAGCCACTGTACTTAACACGCATTGATCAAAAGCCAATTTGATTGTCATCAAATAAAGAGCTCATACTATACACAAATCAATCCAAACCACACCAATATCTTGTCAACACTCACTTAAATTAATGTTCATCATTTTCAAGATGCTTCCAGACGAGGCATTCGCGTCATTCACCTGACCTTTGCACAAGTCTAGTTCCGTGGAACAGCTTGTTAAAACGATGTGTTTCAGTGAACACTGACTCAACTCAAATGAAAAGGTTACACTAAAATATTTTACCGTTCAATATACATTTCATACAAAATTTAGAAACATTTTAATCGGAAATGAATTTCAGGGTTCAGTGGGTGTGATAGAGGAGTCGTTCTCAACTGGCTAAAACGAACCACTTTCCCACCATTAAAAAACAAATGTCGTTCTACTTTTTTACTTATGAAAATTCTAGTTCAGTTTTAGCTTTTGTTATTTTGATTATAAACATTGTGGAGATTTACATGGCGTCCAATAAAATATCATAACAAACTTATTGTATAGTCAATTTTTGCACAATCGAACTCTAACTGCACCTCTGAAAGTCTTTACTGGTCACTATGGTCTTTAGTAGCCAAATTGCTGTCAGATTTTGTCAGATTACTGTAAGTCAAACGTCTAGTAAAAGTCCAGACCTCAGTCTACCTCCCTAAAAACTGGCACGTGTAGGTGGGTTTGATTCTATTCTTACGCAAATTACTTTTAAAAGGAGGCTGATAATAGTTTCAGCTTTTTCATCACATACTTTGATGGATCAATACCATCACTCTTTGTCATACGATCCTGCAGTAATGGTATCAATCAAGTTTAATGCTCAATCATTGTTAAACAGGTTGTGGTCATCCTTTTATAGCAACAAAGCAACAGTACAGCCAGTTAGAAAAACCCTTTATTCTAACTTTAAGTACTTATAATTCAAAAATGAGCTCGGTGACCCCAATTCTTTTTTTAAATGTGTATGTCGAGTTATGGATGCAAGCGGGAAGTTTGGAGAGCTTCTTGAGTGTTCTATAAACTTCCCAAGTGCATCCATAACTCGATATACGCACAGCTAAAAGCATGAACCAATTCTTTTACAACATAGCGACAACAACTTGGGCGTTAAGGACGGTGCCCACTAAATACAAAGGTTTTGGCGCCAAATTAGGACCAAGTGCAAAAAGTAGATCTTTGCAAGGGCTATTGGAATCCACAAAGAAATAATTAGCCTTGAATCTTCACAAAAATGCTGACAACAGCACTTTTCTGAAAAGAGAAGTAAAGGATATTTCTTCACAGATTTCCTTAGAATTCGCTTTTACACACAGAAAAGCAGACCGGCACATTATAAGATCTTAAAACTGCATGGTAAAAGGTTACATAAAAAGCATTTTTGGCATGTTTTTAATGGCAAAATCGTTGCAACAGCGCTTTTAACGTCTCTGACAGCCTTCTTCTGGTTCTGCTCAAATACAGTCTCAATAACTTTTCCTCACAACCAGACACTAATCACGTGTTGAACGGGCTTGCCACTTCCATGTCATAACTTAAAATGCAGGGGTAACCATGCGTTTTTTAAAGTTATTCATCTTTTTTGAAAACTTTTACGTTGCCCGTTACATTTTTCCTGTTACCTCCCTAGTAAGCAAAACATTTGCGTCTCTAGCACTTGTTTTGCGCGCGCACTACGCCATCGGCAGGTACAAGTTTACATTTGGATTTCAGAATAATTTTCGACAGATAACAGCTAGTTTTTCAGCTGGAAGCCGTTAACAGTTGGTGGTTAGCGATACGCTGCTATTCTGGTATTCCTGGTTTTAGTACAGGTTCATTGAACTTGATTTGGTCACAGTAGAAAAATTTTGCTTTCATTTTAGTCGCGCACTTGGTAGCGTAGTTGATTACGTCAATCCCAAGCCTAGCGCGCGCTTGGAGTGTAAACCATGCATTGCGTGATGCGCAGAACGTGTGCGCACTAACAAAAGTATGCACCGTCCTTAATACAGGTTTAATTTGTGGTTGACCACAAGGTTCTCACAATGCACGCAGAAGGACGTATCCCATTGGCTGGTTAAAAACACGCCACAATCAGTAGAGCGAGAACACTTCATCTGGTTTCTAAAATTGCCAATGAGAAATTCGCTTTTTCGAATTAATAAAAATATAGGCAAGCAAAGTCAAAATACTCAAGTTTCAGTACGCATCTTAGCTTGGTAATTGGTAAAAGTCAAAGGCCCGAAGTACGGTTTGAATTGTTAAGAATGATGTTCACATTGCCGAAACTTTAATTAACAAAAGGAAGTCGCAGCTAAACTTGTCAGAAACTTTGCAGCTAAAATGAAACTGTACATGTCACGTTACCATGATGGCGCAACAGGAATTAGGTAGGACCAGCGCGCGCGCTATGTCATAATATCGAATTGTAACAAGCATGGTTAAATACGTTTTGCAAAGATAAAAAAAATCAGTAGAGAGGTCCAGAACCTACGTAAATTCTCAAAAATATAAAGTGGCTATGAATCCTCTCATAGTTTCGTAGTTTGGTTATAGTAAATGAATTAACTCTTGTCTTATTGTTTATCCATGAACTTATGTAGTTGTAACGATCCAAGGAATTGCAAATTTCAAATTTACGTGTTCATTTCAAGGTTTTTAACTAAATTACATTTTCCTTCCAGCTTGTAAACTTTGTCAAACAATACCACATGGAGCGTGTCACATGCACGAGCAACCCACTCAATCGCTGACAGGCGGACGGCTCAGCTACGCTGTCAAGTCACTGCCACCAGAATGTAAGCTAGGCGTCTCTAACTCAGCAGGGGAGGGGCACGGTGTATACACTAACCAACCCATCCCTACAGGTACATGGATTGGCCCCTTTGAAGGCAGACGAATTCGTCCTTGTGACGTCACACAACACATGGACACGTCGCACATGTGGGAGGTGAGATACAAGTCTTAAACGCTGTGTTTTTAAGTGGATAGTTTTTACTGTGGTTGGTTCTTTCTCGATCTGAAAGATGAAAAAATATATTCATTTATAGCCCTGACTATTCTTTGTTTACAGCTTTCAATTGCACTTCCATATTATTCTTTCTTGAACTACGCATTGTGTCGACTGAAATTCCTTCATAGTTTTGAAGTTTGATTACTCTTGCAACGTTTTTTCAGTCAGTTATCTCATAAAAATTATGATTGGGCAACCACTGTGCCTTGGTTTCAAGCGTACATACATACATACATACATACATACATACATACATACATACATACATACATACATACATACATACATNTTGGTTGTATTATTATTATGTTGAGCAAGCATAGCAGCTGCATCTTCCGTCCAACACATCTGTTAGGTTAATGGCCCGAACTGCTTTTTTAAATTCACGAAGGCTTGTTTTGTTGCGATGGTCTTTGTCTACTTTTCCCCAGAGATAGGGTCCTAAATATCTTATGCTATATCTTATCTTATGCATTACTTTAAATTCAAATGGCTCTACACCACCAGCAGTGCAACATTTTTACATTGTTCCAGTCTTACTAAGATGAGTTTCATCCTAAAACTGTATTTGCTCTATTTTTTTTACCTTCACTCAAACGCATCCATTTAGTTGAGGCTGAAATTTACAATTCATTCCACTATGCCCTCAACCCTACCTTATTCTCAAAAAGAGACATTTATATAGCAACTAGGAGAACAAGTGTTGCTTTGGCCAATCCTCATTGAAGCACTTAAATAGCTCCTGATCCTCATTAACCAATCAAAAGCCCAGCACGATTACTAACCGTTACTGCTAACGCACAGGCATGACGTCACACCAGCATAAAGTAATAAGATGCCGCTGATCGGCGTTGACAAAACCGGGATCGGACCGGATCACGGATCGGATCACGGACCGGATCACTGATCGGATCACGGATCGGATCACGGATCGGATCACGGATTGGATCAAGGAAAAAATTCAAAATTCAAGATTCAAAATTCAAAATTCAAAATTTTGTTGAGCAAATTACTAGAGTGACTACTGTGAGCAGAACGTTTTATTTAATTCATGTGTGATATTCCTTTATTCTTTTATAATATCAAGCCAACTGGGAGCTGGTCACAGATGAATTTTTTTCAGGCTGTTGGGTTTTGATTGCGATGATCAATCATGTCTTCATATCTTTCTCCGCAGTTCAGATAAATGATA